TCAATTCAAAATAGAAAAAGGTACCACACGCAAACGCACTCGGGCATATCAAAAGAAAAACCTCTAAAAAACCGCAAGAATTCCAAAAGAAAAAAAAACTCTGCTTGAAACCTTAGTTATTTGGCAATGAATGACTGACTGACTGACTGACTGACTGCGGTGCATTGTAAATGCGAAAAACTTGTTTACTGCACATAAATAACTCATATATATATATATTAGCAATCTTTAGTTATTTAAACATATTCCATTCCATTTGCTGCTTAGTCTAGTTTGCCTTTGCTTTTGCTTTTAATTAATCAAACTATTTGCCAACAACAACAACAAGCCACACAGCCTTTGCTTTAAACGTAATTGGGCGTCTTGGCCAATTTGGGTCATTATCTGAATCATCTGATTCATCGGAATCCGTTTCAGTTACAGCTCCAACGTCATCTCCGACCACTCTCTGGCAGTTCTAATGCTTCTTAAGCTCGTGTCCATGTCATATTTGCGGGCGAACTGGGGTCAACTTTAGGTTAATGCAAAAGTAATAGTTGCCAATTGGGAAGCTTTTGATAAATATATATCTATAGAGGTTGTTTAAATCCTTACTCTAGGTATATATGTATAATCTATCAGTTATTCTAGATGCATTATAAAATATAATTTCATAAAAGATTTACTTGATTTTGAATTTCTTGTTATGCTAACTTTCCTAAAGAACAGAGCTTGATATCTCAAGATCTAAGATCTAAGGGTATCTGATCATATCTTGAATATTATAAAAGCTGAAATATTATAAAACTTAAATGAGTCAGATACGAATATATGGATCTCTAATATAATTCCTTGTCGAAAATCGATCTAAATTACAGTAAAAAAGTTATTCTCCTTTAAGCATAACTCTCGTTATTGGCTACAGGGTATCTCTTGGTCGCTCAGGAGGACTCCGGATCACTTTTACTTATTTGTCTTTATCTTCAAGTATTTTATATAATTAGTTTTCTTTATTATAATTGCATCCGCATCTTGATATGATTTCAAGCAGTCTTTTTATTCTTCAACATTATCTATATTTGCTTTATCTTTGAGTATATCAACATTTGTTTTCCTCTATTACATTTTCATTCACAAATTGAACAACTTGAAATGATTCAATTTCAACTTTCTTGGCACAGGTTTGGCTAGCGAAGCGTGTCTTTACCTAATTGTTTTTTTCTAAAACCCATTTATGCAAATGATATGATCGAGATATCAATAACGGATCAAGCTGTGGTTGACTTTTTTAGTCAGCAACCGGTTGTAAGGGGGCAAAAAAACAAAGGCCAAGAAGTTTTCGCGAGAGATCAAAGACAGAGCAAAGGGCCTTGAACAAATGCCAACATATTTAGTTTCTTTTTTTTTTCCCCCAGTTTCAGTTTTTGCCACATTGATGGGCCTTCGATGGGTGAGTCAGCGTGCAGGCAGGCAGATATAAAGAAAAAAGGTCGGAAGGGTGTGTCGCACTATTTTATTTAATTTCTGTTTATTTTTGGCCAATTTAATGGATTTTCCCCCCTTTTTTTTGTTTGGTAATTGCGGCTGCAATTAAGATAAATGCGGATTGCTTGAATCGGTTCTTGGAGATACATTTGCATAACTATCTGGCATGCTACGCAAAAGTATCTCGGTCCGTTTTTAAGTGCAGGCTTATTATCGATCTGTTCTTAAGCTGATTTTCTTCCGTTGTTGTTCAAGTTCAGGAAAGAGAAAAAACGGACGGGAAAACAGAAAACAGAAAACAGAAAAAAAAAAAACAGCATCGACGAGCAACAACGTCAGCGAAATACGCCCATAAAAGGCACTCGAAAGCCGTTTACGTGTTAACGTGTTTCTGGTTCCCGATTCCTGGTATTGCCAACATGATGAGTCTTCAGGCAAAAGCCAAAAGACGCAGGCAAGACCACATAAAAAAATACATATAAATTTTGTATCGTTTTTTTTTTTTTTTTTAACTGCATCTCTTCGCGTTGAGTTAAAGTTAGAACATTAAAATTGTGACTAAGGTCCCGGCCGGTGTGCGCCGCGTCTCTCAATTGGAGTTGTTGGCAGACGGCGCGACGTGTGTTTGTTTGTTTTTTTTTTTTCTTTTTTAGCCAAAAAACTCGTTTCTGGCCGTGGCAGGGGCTGTGCGACGGGGCGCGGTCATGTGACACAGGCATAATGCCAAGTCTTTTTAGCCATTCATCTGTATCTGTATATTTAGCTGGCTGCGTTTATGAGTGTGCGTGTGTGTGTGTGTGTGTCTGCGTGTGTTGGCCCTCTTGTGCTTACCTTTTGATGTTGACGATGTTGTTGTTGTTGTTGTTGTTGTTGTTGTTGTTGCTGCTGCTGCTGTTGTGTTTGGCGTGTTGTGGCGTCTGTTGCAGCTTTCAATTTGTTGCGTTGAGTATTTGAATTTTGAAGAAAAAAAACGTTTTCGTTTAGATTGGAACCCGGCCCGCTGGCTTTTTAGTTTTTGGGCTATTTCTGGCGCCCAGTCGTGGGCAGTGCAAAGAATTTCTTAAGCGAGAAAGCGAAAGCAAATGTGAACGGAGCACAGCAAAAAAAGCGAAAGTTAACTGTAAAAAGCGCCTCAATTTAGAAACTGAACTGAACCGAACGCAAGACGAAGAGCGCGAATGCGCTTATAAATACTTCTAGTATATGTATCTGTATCTGATTATCTGTAGCGGTTTAGCAGCTGTTCGTACGATCCCCGTGTGCTCTTCTGTGTGTGTGTGTGTGAGTGTGTCTATATGTATATTATTATACTACATGTGTGTGGCATATGAAATGTGCGACCTGCCTCCGAATGCGAAAGGCACGCGTTTCAATAAATTCGTTGTGATTCGTAATATGTGTATACATATACTTATTTATGTATGTATATATATATTTATTCGATTCTATTCTATTATTTTTGTTATTCTGTTTTTGTGTTTTTAAGCTGTTGTTTTGATATTCTGTTCTCAGCGGCGCTTTGGCCTTTTTTTGCGTATTGATCGCGCGCTTACCGACCGATCCGAGCGACTGACTAAAGATAACTAAAGGGAAATGGAAATGTGTTGGCAGTATAAACCACAAAGCAGAAAGCAGCAGCAGCAGCAGCAGCAGCAGCACGACAGCAGCAGCAGCAGCACCAACAACACTCCGTCCGCACAAGCAGCACAAAAACAGTACGCAGCAGGCTGCTTCGCGATACGAAGGCACCTTCACACGAGAACTCATAAACACACACACACAGACTCAGAGACACACACATGCACACAGCCGAAGCGTGTATTTGTATTTGATGTTTGCTTGTGCGAGTGTTTGTGTTTGCTTTTATATTGTTGTTGTTGTTCGTGCTTGTTCGCGCGTTCTTGTAAACGCACATTATCAGACAACACAGTTCGCCGCGCCTCGCCTCGCCTCGCACCGCCCACCCACTTGACTCGCTCTATCCGCTATGTTATCGTTCATGCGGCGTCGTGAATGAAAATGAAACAACAACAACAATAGCGCCAGCGTCAGCCAACATTAAAACAGTTACAACAACAACCGGCGAAACTACAAAAACATGGCGTGCTGCCCATGTCTAAGACTGTGCGCATGTGTGAGTGTAACTGCATCGGTGTGTACGTGTGTGTGTGTGTGGTAGCCTGTGCGTAGGGTACGAACTTGCTCAGGCTAAATTGCTGAGAGTGTAAGCTCACACACGCTCACTCTCTCACTCACTCACTCACTCTCTCTCTATTTTGACATACGGCCACTCTTGTCGTCGCCCTCGCCCTCGCTATCGTCTTTGCGCTCGCCATACAAAATGGCCTGCCAAAAAAAAAGCACAACAACAACAACAACAAGCGCACACACACATTGTACGTATACGCAATGCGATTTCGATCCGATACCGATACCGAAATCGACCACGTTGTTGTTTGTGTTTCTTCATCCAGAACTCTACAAATTTCGATGCTCTTCTTTGACTTCGTCGATGGCTCATTTTGTTTCTTTTATTTTGAAGTTTCGTTTCACAGAAAAAAATAAGTTTTTTTTTCCTTTTTATTGGATACGAGGCGTGTTTGCCTGTTTGCCCGTTTGTGTTTATATTTGTATTCGTAATTATGGTATATTCAGTGTGTGTGCTCTGGCTTTTTCCACTGACAAGATATTTTGAATGAGATCCATTCACGTTTTCGGGCTAAAACTTATCTTTTTTTTTATTTTGGTTTTAACAGGTTACCGGCAAAAGATACACACACACAGACACTCCTTTTGGGCGTAATATTTTGAAATTATTACCAGAAATTATGAAATAGCATGATTGGGCATAAAATAGATCTGCAAAAACGCAAATCACGAGAATTGGAATTCATTAAGCGTGCTATGAACTTCAAATAATACAATTCAATGCGCACATGCGAACTCTAAAATAGGAGCTCTTTTTTTTTGGGAATTATGCTTATCGCATGGCATACTTTTAATTTGCTTTTGGGCAATTCTCGAAATTTCTTCGCTATAATTATGCATTCGACTGTGAACTTATCATATAGGGGCATTTTAATGCCATATCGTGTCTGGCACGTGATGGAGAGCCAAATGCAAAAGCCTATCAACTTGTTGAATACGCTTTCGGCAACTTTGAGTTATGATTGATAAGCCGCAGGGCCAGCCGGACAAAAAAAAAAACAAAGAACAACAACAACAAAAACCTTTTAGCTGCAATGACAAATGCCTAAAATTGTGGGAATTGATTGTTCTAATATTAAATTAGATAAGAATATTAATTTGCCTTCAGCTTTGGCAGACAGAAAATACCCTCGGAAATACCTGCGGAAAAACCAGCCAACTATCCAACTAGATATTCTTCAAATAATATTAAAAACCATTAAAGAAACCAATCGAATTTGATTGAGTACTTTTCCATTGTACAATCTGAATTGAAATGGCACAACGAACGGAAATTGTTTTTTTAATTTTCATAATTGATTATATCAAAATATTAATGGAAGGCGGAAGTGAATGCAAAGCAGCTTTTTTTTTGTTAAATCGCATGCAAACGTGAAAGTTTCAATAATAATAATAATATTGTTAGAGTAGTCCACACGATAATTGCAAACATCTCGCTCGCTTCTTCTTCTTGTTCACCTGTAAGGAGGCTCTGGTCGCAGTTTCGAAAACTTCGCGCACACCCTCCTGCATTTTGGCCGAGCATTCGAGATATGCAAATGCATTGACTATTTCGGCCATGGTAAGACCCTCGTCAGCTGTGACCGTGTGCTGCTTTTGCATGGATAGTTCCTAAAAATGAAAAAAAGAATTGCTTTTGTAGCTTCAATGTGATTAAGCTTGGAGTGGAGCACTTGCCTTTATGGTGTCAGGATCATTGCGCAAGTCGCGTTTGTTGCCAACCAAAATGATGGGAACGTTTGGACAGAAGTGTGTTACTTCGGGTATCCATTTATCTTGTATATTTTCCAACGAGTCCGGCAGATCGATGGAGAAGCACATGACAATCACATCCGTATCGGGATAGCTTAAAAGCCGCAAGCGATCGTAATCCTCCTGCCCGGCTGTGTCCCACAGCGCCAATTCCACCTTGAAGCGAGCAGAAATTATAGGCAAATGTATGTGCACATATGTATGTATGTATGTGTGTATGCTGTTGCCCCATAAAAGCTACTTATTTAAAAAGCACTTGAGCACACCGAGCTGATGCTCCAGAAAGCAACAGCGCTGCGAATGCGAACAACCTCGACGTGATTCATGCGCGAGCGTTTTGTAAACTTGAGCAAAATGGGGGCCCAGCCTGGGGCAGGCCCGCACCTAGTGCGAGTACTAAAATAAGATCAGTACTAAATATCGCTCAGTATACACACATGCAACGTCCATATATAAATAAATAAGTGCGTATAATTGTTAGTGCATATTTGCAGCATTGCTCATGCAAAGAAACAAAGGCGCAAATTGTAAGCAAAATACGTTTTGTTAACTTGTGCAAACCTGTGATCCTTCAACTTCCACATCCGCAACATATGTTTCGAATACTGTCGGCACATAATCCAAGGGGAAATTGTCTTTACAAAAGACGGTTAACAGGCAGGTCTTGCCACATGCCCCATCGCCCACAATTACCAGTTTCTTGCGAATAGAACTCATTATATTAATAACAAATTATAAGCACTAGAAAAACAATTGTTTTTTGTTTTTTTATTCTTAACGTATGACTGCAGGAAATGCTGTTTGCCAAGGAACTGTGCGTTTGTTTAGTGATTGTGGCGATGTGAAATACCTTTTTTGTTTATGAATACTGCGCTACAAAGAGAATACCATGGCATATGCATAACACAATAAAGTGCTTTACTGCGCATTGCAAAAAGTAAGGAATTTAAATTCTTAAGTAGGCACAATAACTCAAGTAAACTAAATAGATATCTCTGTAACAAAATGTGTCAAACATTTGTAGGGTAGCTAATGTTCGAATAACAGTTACGTTTATGTCGTAGTTTGATGGGCAGCACTTTGGAACAGAGTTGTTCACATCAGTTGGCAGTACCGAAAACTATCGTAACACAAGTGTTGGTGTTTCGATATATCGATACGATATTATCAGCCCTACAAACATTGCGAAGAACAAGAAGAAAAAGGCTCTTCCTCTTTCTTTTATTTCCGCCATTGCCTGAGATAGTTGGAAAAATATGGGTGAGTCGCTATAAAGAGTGTATTTTGTGAGAAATACGCAATTTGCGTCGTTAAACAAAGTGCAAATCCAATTAAAATAGTTCTGCAACAGCAAGTGTAAGTGAATTTAAACGCGCCGGTGCTTATTTATGTTCAAAACCTCATTAACTCTGAAAACTTGCAAAACTTCGGCTGCAATTTGTTAGTTGCCCGAAATCCGTTAATACCAAAAGAATCGTGCAATATAGCAAGTCAAAGAATTTTTTAACATGAAAATTAACATGTAGCACAATTATTGCAAGTGTTATTTGTGAAAATTTGCACACCAAGCGCAATTCACAGTGACGTATTCAAACTAACCTAAAAGAGCCGCCGCTGCATCGGCCATTTGTTTACATTGTGTTTGTTGTTTTTTAATTTGATGAAATCTAATTTAACTAATTAAAAGAAGTATTGCTGTAATTAACAGGCAAACCTAGAGGTCTGCGCACTGCCAGAAAGCATGTGAACCACCGTCGCGACCAGCGTTGGGCCGACAAGGACTACAAGAAGGCTCATTTGGGTACCAGATGGAAGGCCAATCCCTTCGGTGGTGCATCCCACGCCAAGGGTATTGTGCTTGAGAAGGTGTAAGTAGAAACTATTTATTTATTTATTGTTATTTTAATTTGAAGCCAACGCATTCGATGTCTCGCAGTATATTTTTGTGTTTTGTTTATTTTGAAAATCAAATCACAGGATTATACTGTGAGTTATCGGCTGTAGCAACAACAAAAATCCAGTTTAGACACAAAGCTTTAAAAACCTGCACCCGAGACTAATCGAAACTCTTTCTTAATTCCTTTTGCAGTGGTGTTGAAGCCAAACAGCCCAACTCTGCCATCCGCAAGTGCGTGCGAGTGCAGCTCATCAAGAACGGCAAGAAGATTACCGCATTCGTGCCCCGTGACGGTAGCTTGAACTACATTGAGGAGAACGACGAGGTTTTGGTTGCCGGTTTCGGTCGTAAGGGTCATGCCGTCGGTGATATTCCCGGTGTCCGTTTCAAGGTCGTCAAAGTTGCCAACGTCTCCCTGTTGGCACTTTACAAGGAAAAGAAGGAGCGCCCAAGATCTTAGATGACGATACATCTATCATTTTCCAGAGTTAGGGTTTTACAAAACTAAATAAACAAGAAAAAAAAAACAAAACTAATACGTTTTAGTTCCTTTGCAAATTGACATTTGTAGTATATCAGCAAAAGATTGGTTACGAACAAAGTGTCGAAGTTTGAATGCCCTGCAAGGGTTTATACGGAAACTATATGATATAGTAGATGCTGGTGGGACTTGGCCCAGAAGTTAGGAGTAGTTAGTAACTGCTTAGTTGGGTTAAAATATCTTGTAAACTGAAAGTTTTCAGATGAATACTTGATGCTCGACAGATAAAACAAAATTTTCAAAACTACTAGGGTATAGAAACAGACGGATATGACTATATGGACATATGTATATCCTTAAAAAGATTAAAAATGTCTGTATATTTCATGAAAAAGTTGAAATATTGATTTGTTATAGTGTTGAGCATTTAATATGTGTAGTATGTATTTTCAGTATGCGGCTTATTTATAAGATGTATATATATATAATTATATTTAAATGCCTAGAGCCTTATAAACTACCAGTATGGATTATAGTCAGCCTGTGCCAGACTCTTCGCCCGTTCAGGGGTAGCTACCCCCGCCGCCGCCGCCGGCATTAAAATTGTTTGGTCCTGGGCGACGCATGGGCCGACGGCCGCGGGAACGATTTGCGAACATGCGATTGGAGTTGGGTGAACCGCTTGGCATATTCGGATCCTGATTACCCGGATGTCCACCGCGCATATTGCCCGGCTGTGAGTCGCGCTGCCAGACTATGCGTGCCGGTCTGTTTGTGTTGTTGCTGTTGTTATTATTGGAATTACTGCCGCGCATCAGGGAACGACCGCCACGGCGTGTGGGCACCGTGCTGCGCAGCGTGCGAAAGCGTGTGTTCTCCGAGGGGGATGTGGCCTCAGCTTCGCGACCCTCCTCCTGTGAGGAACACATTAAGTTGTTATTTGTGTACGCATAAATATATTTGGAATAGCTAACCTCAACTTCCACGGCCTGTTTTTCGCCCTCTGACGAGACGCCATCGGCGCCCTCGTTATCCTCGGAGGGCCCCTCGGCCTGGTTATCCTGGTTTTCTGTCTCCACCGACTGACTTGTACCCACATTGGGATCTGTTAGAGATTTATGAGTTATTCATTATTCTTTACCACTGCAGTCGACTCTCCACTCCACTCACTCTCATTGCTCAGCTGCTGAGACTCCTCCGCCTGGCCAGCAACTGTCTCTTCGGCAAAGGCTTCGTCTGCCTCGCTTGCGTTCTCCCCGGCCGTTGTCTCACTCTCATCCGGTTTGTCTTTGGCCTCGGCGGCCTGGCTGCTGCTGCTGCTGCTCTGCTCGGCGGCCTCATTTGGTTTCTGCGGCGAACTGGCAACTGCAGCTGTGCAATCGACGCTCGTGCCGGCGCTCTCATCCGCCGCCACCGCAGCAGCCTCCGCTACAGCCGTGCCATCGATCTCCGTCTCCACGCATGTGGGCTGCTCGCTAAAGTTGGACACCTGCGGCGAGCTGACAATCTCAACGGAACTGCTGGGGGTACACACGGAAAAATAATAAGCATAATCTTTTCGATGAGTTTAAGCCTGCAGCTCACCTCTCAGTGCGACGCGCTGCAGCCGTTGATGTGGATGGCGCCTGCTGCTTCCAGTTGGCCTCGGCCTGTGGTAATGGGAGTCCATTCGATTCGCCGCTGCCACTGGTTATGGCCTGGCTTTGATTATTCTCCTGGGTCGAGACAGTGGCTGGCGAATCTTCGAGCAGTTGGCTCTCGGCCTGGGCCTGGATCTGCACCTGTTCGATATCGACTTCGTTGTGTTGATCGGGTGCATCGGCGCCTTCATTGTCCTCCATTTCGTTGTCCTGCTCGTAGGAGTCCTCGTAGCCCTCCTCCTGCTCGGCATCGCCGCCATCGATGGGCCCCAGGACATCTTCCTCCTCATCATCAGAGTCCACGACCTGAATATCATCCTCCTGGTCACGCTGCGAAGACGTGGGCATCTGGTCCACATCCATGCCGGAATCGCCAATGTGTCCGGCGGACAATTCGCCGCCGTGCATTGGCGTACGCAACCGTTTCGCCAGCTTGACAATCTTCTCGGGCACGCCCTCTTCCGCATTGGTAGACGAATCGCCCTCTACATCGCGTGGTCGCTTGGAGCAGCCGGCCTGGGTGGTGGTCACATTGCTGCTAGACGGCGTGTGGCGACTGTGACTGCTGACCACAGTCGAGGAGCTGCTGCTGCTGCCCGATGTGCTGGGCTGCTGTTGATTGCTGGCATCCTGGACGCTAGGAACAGTTGGATTCTGTGTGGATGTCGATGTGGTTGTGCTGGTCGAAGAGGACGACGATGAGCCCTCAACACGCGGCGACACGAGCGCCACCACCTGCTGCTGTGCACCGCCGACAAAGACCTGTGCATCATTCTGCTGCGGATGCTGCACACTTTCCGCCTCCTGGGAGCTCTCAGCCGCTGCAGTGGCGCCCATGGGCGGAATAGCAGCAACGGCCACAGCCGCCGAACTGGTCGAGGGCATATAGTCTGTATGCGAAGATGTGGGTGACGAGGAGGCCATGGACTCCAGCGTGGCACTGCCCGTGGTATGCACCTGCTGCTGTGGCGGCACCAGGGCCGTGTTGCCCACAGCAGAGGAGGAGCTGCTGCTGCTGCTGCTGCTACCCGATGCAGCGGCTGCCGATGAAGTGGACGTCGATGTAGAGGTTGAAGTGGAGGCGCCTGGCTGCTGGCTGGTGGGCAGTATGGCGGCTGTGCGACTGTTCTGCACGGAAATGGGCCGGATGCTGGCCAGAGGCGTCTCGCCGCCACGCCAGGGCGTCACCGTTGCCGATTGCTGCACTGTGGCCGAGCCGGACATGGGCTTCACATTGGCTGTGCGCGGCGACGACTCGGATATGTTGCCCTTCTCGGCCATGCCCACCGAGCTTGTTGAGGGCTTGGTGGACTGCTGGTTGCCCAGTTGGCGCTGCAGCTGATTGATTCTCATGTGCAGCGATTCGTTTTCGCGCATGAGACGCGCATTAACGTCCTTGTTGCTGGTGATGTGCTCCTGCAGCTCCTTCTCGAGACGCAGCACAGTTTCGTCGTAGCTGGTCTTGGTGCCGGCGAGCGTTGTCTCCTGGTTGGCCAGCTCGGTCTTGGTCACGGTCAGCTCCTGCAGCAGCTTCTCGATCTTCTGCTTGGACTCGCCGCTCTCCTGCTCTACGCTGGAACGGGACTTGAGCTCATCGTGCTCCTTCTGCAGCTGCTCGTGCTGCTCCTTAGTGTTGCGCAGCAGGTTGTTCAGCTCGTCCAGCTCGGAGCGCACCTTCTCCAGCTCGGCGACGGTATCGTTGCCGCCGGTCTGCGCCTGGAGGCCCGTGTAGTAGTCCTTGTAGCGCTTGGCCAACTTGCGCAGCATCAGCTCCTTGCTGTCCTTGTCCTGTATGACCTTATCCTTGGACTCGAGCTCCTCCTGCGCCTTCATCAGCTCCTCCTCCTTCTGCAGCAGGCGGTTCTTTAGTTCCATAATGTCCTGCGCCTGGCGCGTGCTCGTCTGCTTCAGAGCCGTGGACTCCTCCAGCTGCTTCTTGCGCGCCTCATCCTGCAGCTGCAGCTGTTTGCTCAGTGCTGGCAGCTCGTTTTCCACACGCGCCTTGAATACGGCCAGCTCGTCGATCTGCTTCTTGCTTGCGTCCTTTTCGGCTGTCAGCATCTTGGCCAGATGCTCGCGTTCCGCCTGCAGGCGCTTGAATTCCTCGGGATTCCTGTTGCTCTTTTCGACCAGAGCATTGGCACGCTGACGCCACTTGATGGCCTCTGTGCGCAGCGATGTGTTCTCCACATTCAGCTCCTCGATCTTGGATGTCAGCTCCTTGTTGCTGCACTGCAGCGGGAACAGCTCCTTCTCCACGCTGCTGATGCGCTCCGTCAGCTCGGCCACGCGTTTGGTCAGCGTGTTGCGTTCCTCGCGCAGAATGCGATTGCTGTCGGTGATGGCGTTGAGGGTTTCTATCTTACGCAGCACCGCCTCGTGCTTAGACGCGGAGACCACGTCGGTTTCGCTCTTGGAGCGCTCCTGCTTAAGGTAACCGTTCAGCTCGTCCACCTTCTTCTGCAGAATTGTGTGCTCGGAGACGAGGCGTGCGTTCTCGGCCTTCAGAATGTCCAGCTTGGCCGCATACAGATCCTTCTCCTTGCGCAGGAACTTGATAATCTTCAGGAGCTGCTCACTGTTCTTGACGTCATCCACAGACGTCGAGCTATTGATATCGAACGTCGAGGAGCCGTCAAGTAGCGAGTCGTTCAGCATCAGGGATGAGTTTTGGTTGGACGCAGATTGGGCGAGAGCGGCCAGCTTTGTGGTCAGCGCCTCGATCTGATCGTGCAGACTGGAGTTGAGTGCGTTCAGGTCAGCGACACGTTTCTCCGACTCGTCCTTCTCCTTTTGCAGCAGACCCTGCGCCTCGGCGTTTGCCTTCTGGAGTTCATCGTGGGCAGCTTGCAGAGATTCGCGTCCACATTTCAGTTGATTCAGTTCGTCTTGCACCTGGTAACAAATTGTAGAGTAATTAATTTTAATATGAGAATCGCTTAGAAGAGCCCAAAACATACCTTCAAGAAGTCCGCCTTGAACTTGGACAATTCCTGAATGTCAGCCGAATGCAATACCATTTCATTGGCATACTTCACCTCGACGGCATTTAGGGATTCGGCCAGCGTGGAGTTCTCGGCACGCAGCTTGCGAATGGTGCGACCCGATTCGGTTAATTTCTCAAGCACATTCTTAAGCTCCTCCTGGGCAACCTTGAGCTGATCCGATTGATTTGTGGTCTTGCTCTGTTCGGTGACATTGGAGAGCAGCACCTCGGCCTCCAGATCGGTGACGCGCGTCTGAAGCTCAGCCTCGGAGTTCTTGAGTTTCTTGATCTCGGCCTCGGATTTGGCCACGATTTCGGCGTGCATGTCGTGCAAGCGCTTGATTTCGCTTTCCGCGGATTGGGACATCTTGTAGAACTGATCGCCGTGCTCGCGTGCCTTGGCCAGCTCCTTGGTGAGCGAATCGATTTCGATTCTGGCCTGATCGTAACGCAGCTCGAACTCACGCGCCTTTTTGTTGGCAGCTGTGATGGGATTCTCGTCCTTGGATGGGGTAAGGCTCTCCTGCAGCTTCTTGCTGAGATCGTTCACCTGGTTGACCTTCACGGCGAGCTCCTCGCGCACGTCTATTAGCTCCTGGTGCCACTTTTCGGCCTGCAGACGCTCCTCCTCCTTCAGCTTGATGGCCGTCTCCGTTTGGCGCTTGAATTCGTTGACCGTTTCGCGGAACTTCTCCTCCTCCTCCTGGAAGTGACGACGCTGAGCGGACAACTCGCGTACCGTGTCATCGAGGCGCTGCTCTAGGCGCAGGCGTCCCTCTGTCTCGGAGCGCTCCAGATTGGCTTTAATGAACTCCAGATTGTTCAGCAACAGCGACTGGCTCTGATGTTCACGATTGTAGCCGTCCTTTTCGGCCTGCAGACGGGCAGTTGTCTCCTTGAGCACGCGATTCTCGTGCTGCAGGCTGTGAGTCTCCGTTTCGGATGCCGCCTGTTTGCGATGTGCCGTCATCACCTCGTCCTTGAGCATGTGCACGGTCTGCTCGTGCTTGATAATCGTCTTCTCGTAGTTCTTGGTGCGATCCTCCAGCGCAGCTATTTGCTGTTTGTATGTGGCGATGCCCTTTTGCAGCAGTTCCATCTGCTCCTTCTGGAACTCGGAGGCGTTCATCAGCTTGCAATTGACGGAGGTCAGCTCACGCACCTCCTTGCGCATCGAGTCGAACTGATCCTGGACGAGTGCATCATTCTTGCGCTTCTCGCTGGTGTAGTAGTCATAGTTCTCCTTGAGCGCGGCATATTTCTTCGACTCATCCTCCAGTTGCTGCTCCAGGCTGCGTATGCGTCGCTCCAGCTTAGCCTCTGCCTCCAGCTTTTGCGTGTTCTCCACTGCCTTCGCTTGCTCCGCTTTCGACTCATCTATAAGTACGGTCGAGTCGTCCAGATCTATAATCTGACTGCCCAGCTTCTTTTGGGCGTCGAAGTAGAACTTCTTGTAGCGCTCGCACTTGGCCATCAAGGTGGATATTGTGTTGTTCTTCTGGTTGAGAGCCTCCTCCATTTCGACCAGACGCTTTGTAGCCTTCTCGAACTTCTCCTCGTACGCCTTCAGCTGCAGCTCATCATTCTTCAGCTCGTTGGCCTCCAGCTCGGTGGTCAGTTCGCGGATTAGCGACAACAACTTAACATTTTGCTCCTGCAATTCGACAATGGACTCGAAGGTGACCAGATCTCGGCTGATGGCATCGCTGGAGTTGTGTATGAGACCGGGCTGCGTTTGGTTGCGCGGCCGATTGACGCCAGCACGCAGGCAATTGAGCTCATCGAGCAGCAGGCAAACCTGGCGACTCAAATCGACCTGGGACTGCTTCAGTTTCTTGTTCTCCTTGACATGGCGCGTGACATCGAAGTGCGTTTGCTCCAGCTCCTGCTCGAGACTCAGCTTCTTGTCCACCAGCTCGTCGCGCTGCTGCAGCAGCAGCTGGTGCGCCTCGGTGAGTTTGCTGTAGTCGTCATCCTGTTTCTTGAAGACTGGCGCACGCTCATTGATCTCCTCGACAATCGATTTGATCTGTAGCTTGAGCTGTGCGTTCTCGCGATTCTTGGCTTCCAGCTCCTCTGAATTCTTGGCATACAGCGAATACAACTCGGTGAGCGACATGTCGGAGCGCATCAGGCGACTGGCAACAGCAGCCGTCGGCGCCAGCTTGCAAATGGCGCTCTCCAGGCTCTGCTCCTTGGCCTCCTTCAGCAGATCGTTGGCGTGTGCAATTTCTGTTTTCAGTGCGTCAATTGTCTTATTCATGGAATTCAGCTCCTCGGCATGATTCTGCTTCGCCAACTGGAACTCAGTCTCTAGCTCACCGTACTGATCGGTGGTTTCAGTCAGCATACGCTTCAGATCCGAGATGCCCTTGAGCAGCTCGTTGCGCTCTGTGATATTCTCGCATTCGGTATTCTTATAGATCTCGACCAGCTTCTCTTTCGTGTCGAGTTCCTTTTTGAGCGTGTCCACAAACTTTTCGGTTGCCATATTGTGCTGGAACATTGTCTCATTGAGAGACTCGATTTTCTTGTTCAGATCCTCAATGGTCTTCGAATACTGTGAGTTCTGGCCTTGGAGTATTTGCAGCTCGTCACACTTTTCCTTGAGCCGCACCTCCAGATGCATGATGTTCATGGCATGGTCGCGGCGCAAATTCTGTAGCTCGGCATTGTTGCGATTTAGATCGCTGCTGAGCAATTGAATCTCATTTTGCAACATTGCACGCTCGCTCTCCAGACGGCGTTCCTTGATGTCTAGGGACACCTCTTTGCTCTGCACCTCATCGAGACGCGCTATGGCCTCACACTTGGCGGTGATGGCAGCTCGCAGCTGCTGCTGATAGGTTTGCAGATCCTGCTTGAGCCGCTCAAGCTCGCCATTCTGCCGCTCGATCACTTTGAGCAGCGAGTCGCGCTCATCGACAAAGGACACCTTCTCTTTGCGCAATGTGGACAAATTTTGATCGTAGCTTTTTACTGATTCCTGCAGCTGGTCACGTTCGGCAGACACTTGATCCAGCTGGGCGCGCAATTCGGCTACATTTTGCTCAAAGTTGGTGAACTTTACCTGGTTGTCGAGTAGTTGGCTTTGCAGCTCTTCATTCTTCTGTTCTGTTTCACCTGAGAAGAGGAAAGAGAGAGATGAGGGCAGGTCATATGCAAGGCAGTTGTGTAGAAGTAATAAATCTATAATAATGCCCTAATAACGCCACTTTACTCACTGAGACGATGCGCGGCGGCTCGTTCTTTGCAATATTCGTCGAAAAAACCATCTATATAGGATTTTAGCTTTTGCTGCACGCCGGTTGGTAGCTGTTCCAGCTCTGCCGGCGCAAATATCTGTTCCAGCGACTGTGGACCACTGTGATCCATGTTTGGAATGCTTTTATTTATTGAACGCAATATTCAGTTGACAAATTTTTTCGAAACTTTGTGTGCAAAAAAATAGATTTGCAAACGACGCGACGTACTGCAAAAATTGCGATATACCTGACAAGTGTGTACCTATCAACCGGAGTTGTGTTATTCAATTGAATGGTTCATTGATTGAACGAATGAACTTGTTCAGCGATTTGTGAACGAATATGTTCAGTGTTTCATGAACCAGCAGGATAGCAGCTAGATTGGTGTTATTAAATATGTACATATGTTTGGTTCATTAGGTATTATCCTTCAAATCAAATCAACATTGTTTGTTCATATATAGAAATAGGCAAGAAATAAAGGCACATATCGATAATTACGTGTCACAACAAATTCTCAACAAGTTGAACCCTAAGTGAAAAATCCAAGCACCTGAGAAACTGAATAGCTGAAACTGAATCGTATATAATATTAAAATGAATTCAGTGATTTGGCTTAACTCTTTAAAAAAAGTGATTTAAACATATTTATCATAATGAACCCAAATGCTCAACGCTGACGTCAGTGTGTACACACTAGCTGTGGCGCGATATTTTTATTGCTTTGCACAATTCCTACTTTCATGTGCCGGCTTTCTTAACATGAGAAATAAAACTCATATAAACAAATGCAACTACTGCACTTACTCAGTCGATTTGCAGCAGCACGTTCTTTGCAGTATTCGTCTGAAAATTTCTCAATGTATGCCGACAATTTTCCCTGTATGTTGTCTGGCACTAGTTGCAGCTCCTCCGGTTGTAATATGCTGCTCAATGACTGTGTGCCGTCAAAGTCCATGTTGTTAATAGTAAGTGAAACACTTTTAAATTGTTTAATTTATATTTTAACACAATTTCACAATATTATTTCGTCAAAAAAAATCCGAGCGCGACTCAGCGTTCTTCACCATACCGACTTAGCGATGTACTAAGGAAAATTAGAGACATCGATTACTACATAGAGGTGCTAATCGGAAATAATCGGTATAGCGATACATCGTTAAACGCATGTTAGTGTTGCACAACATGCAGAAGTATAACAGCTGGACATTTAACAGCACTGTTAAGGCGCGAAAATTTAAATACTACTGTAAAGGGTATGGAATGTAGGTTTTAATAATTTCACAAACATGATAAGCTTTAATTACATGAAGTGCGATTTTATGAATATAAACATAGTATTTTCTGTTGCATTAGTACATTCCATTGTTATATAGCTACATATTTTACGTTATTCAAGTGCCTGTTACCCATACCTACCGCAGCGGCTGGCAAGCCATGGCAGGTATTGCACACAACGACCTCATCACATTATTGGCTTACATAACCCGAAACGTTGAGGCAAATCCAACAGACAGCAATCAGCATCAATGTGTGTGCTGCAGCTCTTCATTCAACGACGGCAGCAGAGGCACAGGCACAGGCACAGGCAGAGGCAGAGGCAGCGTCTGGACCAACGTGTGCCGCCGCGCTTCATCTCTGATAAGAGGCAACTGCACCTACAGCGATACTTTTTGCGATCACTGGGTACACTGCGAAAAATCGTAAGCGCGGCCAATCAAGTGTCTGGCTGTGTGGCCAACAGAGAATTTCTTGCAGTGCAACAGGCGGTCGATCTGCTTATCAATAATTTGTTTTCCTTTTTTTGCTGCATTTAGGCAGAGATTCACTGGCGATAGCGACTCAAGTGTCACACGCCCACATTTTTGGAGCAGCGAGATGAGCCGCAGCGGGCCAGAGGTTGCCGTTGCCGTTGCCGCTGCCGCTGCCTGGACCCGGTTGCTGCATGGCCTGCCCATGCATTAAGCTGAAGCCATTTGCACATGCGCCACGCCAATAAACTTGTACCCACCACCGAGGCACGCTTTGATCCTCATCCACAGTCTCCGACCTGAGCTCCAGCAACTCAAAGGGGGTCGGCACACGCTTGCCGCGTTTCGTTTCTCTTCTTTGCTTTGCGGTCTGGCTGTTGCCCAGTCTGCCGTCTCCTGTCCTGTCCTGGCTTGGCTTTCTGGCCTGGGCTGGCTTGGGCTGGTCTGGGCCCTGGCCCGTTGCACTGCGCATCGCATAAATCGACGGACCCAGCGAGCGCCGGCGGCAATTATCGCGATATGATAAACAAATATTTTTGCATCTAACCCACGTCGCCGACTGAGGACCAAAGTTTTCTGGCATTCTGGCGCTTAATTATGAACTCTGTGCCCGTTTTTTTTTGGAAGGTTTTTTCTTGAATATGTGTGTAGTTATGCTTTACGCGTGGCCGAATGCACTTTTACCTGGCTGGTAAGTACCTGGCACTGTCGAGGGCTTGGCCTGGCCCAAGTTGCTGCAAGTATGCAATTTAGAAGCTTATCGCTCTTTGGATACCAATCGGTCGGTCGGCGGTTTTGGCTGTATGCGAAGTGGGTGGAGGAATGATATAAAAATTAAATATGGCTCTATTTGAATATTAATATTTGTATACTCTAGCAAAGGGCATATTAGCTACAAAATGTGAAAGGCATAAAAGAAGTTGTCTTTGATACGATAATGTATTTATGATCTTGGGCAATTAAAGTCGAGCATTGCCGTCTGTCTGTCTGTCTTTTTCTAAGCAAAGATATTTTGTTTAAACTTTGCATAGATTGTATTTGTTCTAGGCAGTGCATATGTCGCAGTCATCCGGATCAGATGACTACCATATCATATAGCTGCCATACGATTTTTTGATATGTTCTTATTCCTTTTTTAAAGATATTTGAGCCAAGTTGTACTATACTCCCTATTTATAGGCAATATCGAACTTATTGATATATTATATATATTATATTTCAATTATATATACATTTAGTTAATATATACATAATGTGGTAAATTCTAGAGGAACAATCGTTTGGAAACCAAGTTTTTGCCTGAGGAAACATTTCTTTGGCTTGGTATAGAAATACGTATAATTAGTATAGAACTACGTAAGGGTATTTAAACTTCGTCAAGTCGTGACTGTTTTGTTTGAGGGTGGCTTTTGGCTGCAAGACATGAATATTATAATCTTTTTGTAGCTAATATTTACCTATTTTATATGTTTTGTGTTTCTTAAACTAATATTTATAAGGCCTACATTTATTGACTTTATAAATTAAGATATCGCCTGAATGATAGCAACTATAATTGTTCATTGGGTATGAGTTTTTTGTTGTTGAATATATTGATTAATTTTAAATAGATTTCATAAATTAATAACACATTTCTAAGACGACCAAATTTAAGATTATGATCTTACATAAATATATTTGTGCTTTGATATATATTTTTGTATATATTTATATTTTTTGTGCCATATATATCCACTTTTGGCTAGACTGTCATGTTCATAGATATATATCCATATATATATATATATATCTTAGAAACGTGTTACTAATTTGAATTTAATTAATATTTAAAATATGTATATATATAATTAATACGACTTTATATATATATTGTATTTTTAAAATGTACTTATCAACCTTTTTAATTTTTATATATATACTTTATACTAATTAAAAATTGTATATATTTATTTATATATGTACACCTTATTTTACTTTATATAGAAATTACGTATTTTATTAATATAGCTATCAACTATTTATTTATAAATAAAATAAAATACTCTCAAGCCTTTTATCAAATGTGCAAAAAAAAAGGAAAGATACTCTGATAACTTCATATATATAACTTGGCTACAAAGGTTCCGCATATTACAATATTTGCATACGCTGCTCTGTGTGCATGTGTGTGAGTGTATAAACGTGTGCGTGTGTGTGTATGGGCAAGCCATGTATTTGGGGCTGGCACACACACGAACACACACAGCCATTTGAGTGTCTCCACCAATTGAAACAAACCAAATGCAAAGTCGTCTCTCCCACAACACATTAAAAGCCGAGAACTGGTTTTCGTGCTTTCAGTGTATGCGACAACTGCCCAGAGCAGAGGGAGAGGGAGAGAGCAGAGGGAGAGGGAGAGGTAGAAGCTGTCGCAGCTCTCAGTTTAGCTCAGCTCAGCTCAGCTCGGCGATCGGCGTCTATTTAAAATACTCGCAAAGCGGCAAACAGGAATATTAAAATAAGTCTGTTTCATTTGATTCAAAAGAACTTGCCGCAAACACGCCTGCCGCTGCGGCTGCTGCTCGACTCAAACTCGGCTCGGCTCAGCTCGGTTCGGGCACACACTTGCCCCAGAATGAGACTGCGTTCGTTCCGCTTAGCTGGGCAGCTGACAGTGCCACTGTCAGTGCCGCTGCTGCCGCTGCTGTCGCTGTCGCTGCTGCTGTAGCCGCTCTCTGGGGTCGAAGCTGCTAAGCTTCAAGCTGGGCCAAGACTGCGCAAAAGGTTTTGCTCGTGCGCTTTTTGGCCTTATGCATTCGACTGCGACTCACGGCGAGATCTCAGTTCCGTTCACAGAGCTTAAGCGAGAGGGAGAGAGAGAGAGAGAGAGAGACACGGAGACAGTGAGACGGAGGGAGTGGGAGAGCGAGGGCGAGAGCTTGAGCCAAGTTTCGCCAGTTGTGTGTTGCCTGTTGCCAGTTGGCAGTTGCCAGTTGCCAGTTAGTTAGCTAGCGGTTCGTCATCGGCGTGGTTCATGTGTCTCCTCTGACTTTTGGCTGGCTACGTCGTCTCTGGCCACACAGCTCCGGCAGCAGCTGCGTTGCGCTTATAATCATAAATATATCTACATACAGCGCGCGGCGTGTATCTGTATCTGTATATCAGCTATAATAGTATATAGGCCCGCTTGTGCATTTTCCCAAGTGTATTGTAAACTTGTGCGCCAACAACAACAACCACAACAACAACAGCAACAACAACAACAGCCCGCTCTCAGTTAGTGTGTTGTTTGTTTTTTTGTGAAATGTTGAAGCCCTTGATTTTAAGCACCAGATACGTTCATTAGTCGTCGCAAGACTTTTCGTGATCGTAAACGCGTTTTTCGCCAACCTCTCTTGATCTTGGCTAACGTGGGATTCCGAGCCAACAGCAGCAGCAGCAGCAGCAGCTGCCAGCGGCAAAACAGTTAACAAAAATCAATCCTTAAATTAAATCAAATATCAATAAAAATGTGCGAAATAAAGTAGAAAATTCAATAAAGCCACAAAGTGGCCCAAAAAATGTGTTGTACATAATTCACGCGCTCTGGGCTGATTTGTAATTAAGAATAAAAAAAGAAAAAATTAAGCAAAAAGTAAAATCATTGCGAAAATTCTCAAGTATGGAGTGCTTAATGTGGGTTAGGGCCTAAACTAGCACTACAAAAACACACACACACACACACACAGATATATACACACCCGCACAACAAATAGACACAAATTCACACATGCCAGTTAGAAGACAACAGCAACAACAACAACAACAGAGACGAATGCGCAAATTTATGGCTGGTTGTTGTTACTCTGGGCCAAATGGTACCACGGCCAGCAGTCGCTTAGGGAAAAAACTAACGGAATAATGCAACATTAAGCAAAATGCTGCTGGCCCTGCTAAAGCTAAAGCAAAGCCCAAACCACCAACAACAACAGCAACAACAGCAACAACAAGAACAGCAGCAGCAGCAGCAACAACAACAACAACAACAACGCGCACCACAACAACCTGCAACCATCGTCGCCGCCGTCGCCGTTGCCGCCTTCGCCGCTGTCGCCTTCGCCGTCGCCGTCGCCGTCGTCGTCGCCGTCGTCGTCATCGCAGTCACCGTTACCACGAAACGTAGCTGTAGTCGCTGTTGCCGTATAAAATGGAACCCTCATATGATCACGAACATCCACATCATCTGCTAACAAATTACAAGTAATATTTACATTTTTCCCATGCTATAAAAAAAAAAAAACCAACTCCAACTACAACATTTTTTTTCTCTCGCTGTTTAATTATATCCAACCGTAGCGAAGATACATATCTTTCAAGAT